ATGGTTGTAATACTCTGTTTTTAAATGAATATATGTTCTCATCTACATAGTGATTGGTAGATGTCAGAAGATCATATCGTTACGTCTATAATGTTATACTGTGAACACCAGACACAATGATTCTAAGAACAGCAAATAATTATCTTGGGTGCATCAAGTGTTCTTTGCCATTTTAATTGTTACAAGATATTTGGTGCCTTGTGCTGTTAGACAATTGAACTTGACAGCATAAAATTGATTTTCTTGTAAAAGAGACTGATATCAGAAGATTTTTTTTTTTTTTTTCTCTTTCTCTCTCTCTTTCCTTTTATGTAATTTTTCTGTAGACGGTCATTTGAATTTTTTTTTGCTGGATAATATGATTGCTTTCACTTGAGTTCTCAGTTGGAGTAATTATGATATAAATAATAGTCATTCAATCAAAGAAATATTCAATGCTTCCCTTGTTTGTATTTTAAAGAAAAGGAATCTATAAGATTAGAAATTTTATAAAACCTATGTCTTGTAAAAACTTTCTAGCGTTAGTAGTTTGTTATGGAAATATAGTAGTTCCCCTATGTAGTTTGGACATTTCTGACACACTCTCAAAGCTTATTGTAATGATAATTAATGGTTAATGGTGAAAAAAATGATAATTTTTTTTTTCTCTCTTTTTTGTTGTCCACAGAGTTTTTGCAAGTCATGCAGGGGTAAACGGGTAGTGAGGGGACCAAAAACAGTGAAGATAAATGTTCTGGCAGGTAAGTTATGAATTCATAGAAATTAGTGTTGTTGCGACATTGTCAACTGCCTGATTTTGTTTTCTGAAGCTCGCTTAGAATGATAGAATCTTAAACTACTACTTGGTTTGCGAGTGTATGGAGATTGTGATGTGCGTCTTTTACCAGTTCTGACAAGGCATTGGGATTACATTTCGTTATATCTTGATTGTTTCTCTGGAATCAATTTCATACTTAATTAGTTCCCAAGGAAGTTTTGGCTTTTGTGCACCAAGTTCATTAGCCAATTCCATTTCTTCCAATATTCGGCAATACCACAAATTTGATGATCTGTTAGATTTCTTTAATAAAATCACTTTTTTCATAAACATCCTACTTTCTGGAAATAATATGCGGTAGTTTCTTGAAATCATTGATTCTTTTTAAAACTTTTACCGCACCAGGCTGCAGTGATGTCTGACTACAGTATTTTGTTAAGTTTTTATGAAGTTTTCATCGAAGGTATTTTGTTAAGGTTTTATGAAGTTTTCATCGAAGGTTTTATTTGTTCATTATTGTATACTTGTGATCTTATGCAGGGGTGGACAACATGGAAACCATTAAGATTCCCAGAAGTGGTGGAGCAGATCCTGAGGGCAATCAACCTGGTGATCTTTATGTTATAATCAAGGTTACTTGATTAGTTCCTTCGTCTTCAATGCCATTGTTTCTGTGCAATTTGTAGTTTGAATAGTTTATTGCTGTCTGCCCAAATTTATGCTTCATTTACTTTCCAGGTTAGAGAAGACCCTGTGTTCCGGAGAGAAGGGCCTGACATTCATGTTGATGCAATTTTGAGCATTACTCAGGTAATTTTTGGGAGGTTATATGTTATGGTATTGGAACTATTGACAGGAAGACAAATATATAGTTTAAACTTTATTTAAGTAAATTACAACTGAAAATATACTTTTTCAGGCAATTTTGGGAGGAACAATCCAGGTGCCAACTCTGACTGGGGATGTTGTTGTTAAGGTTTGTATGAAACTTTATTGCTTAACTAATTGATTAATGGAACTTTCTAACTTTTTGCATCATTAGCATTGCCCAATGGCATAGTTATTATTTAGATTCAGGTTCGGGGGTGCAGGTGAGTGGGGTAGATTAACTATCACTGGCTAGATGTGACCCCTTGTGGGCATTAAGTTGTTTCTCCGTCCATGAGAAACAAACTTTATTTCAGTCCCCAAAAATAAACTATATTTTGTTTGTGTTGCGAATTCTGAAAGCTTGTTTATAACTGCAATTTGTGTTTTGTTTGTCCTATTTTAATTGTGTTTATTATTTTTGATATTGGCTTGTTTTGTAGGTCCGCCCTGGAACTCAACCTGGTCAAAAAGTTGTCCTGAAGAAAAAAGGTATGTGAGTTTATTATTACCTGTTGTCTTCAATTTGCTTCTCAAAATCTTTTGTTGTAAAGCCCGTTTCTAGAACTTATAAATGATATATATTAACATTAATGCTGACAGCCTGACATTTATTTTCTATCTGGGAAATTATGTATACTATCTTGCCAAAGTTGTTTTCATTATGCAGTTCGTGGTAGTTTCATGAGTATATATTGTAATCTATCCTTTGTCAGATGTGTTTACTTTCTGTTATTGTTTGTATATTTAGTAATCTGACACACTGAGGAAGAACATCCTCCATAAATGTCTGGGGCTCTGTTCCATTGCGTACCATTGGAAAACATGCAGCAGTCCTAGCTTTGTCTACCATACCATAGATATAAATGTTGTGCCCACAGTACAGCTAGACAAATTTTGAATTAGTGAAGCGTAGTCAGTACCATCAAACTCCCCATATCAAAATAGAGACTAGCATCATACTATATTTGCTCTTGCCCTTGCTTTCTAATATCTTTCTGTCTCTGCTCTATTATTGACATTAACAAAAAGATGGCTTTCTCACTGCAAATGTTCATCCAAAAAAAATAATAATAATAAAATAAAATATATATATATATATATATATATATATATATAGCACTTTGTT